GACTCTCGGATCCTCGTCCCTCCCAGAGCCTCATGACAGATGGATCTAATCATCACGGGAACAACATCTCGGCTCGCGAGTCAGACCAGGGCTCGGAGTCTTGTAATCTACCGAGTGAGAACTCTTCAGATTGATGTGACGCAAGGCATCATTTATACACAACAGAGCTGTAAAAGGTCCACTGTGCCAGTGTGCTATCACCACGGGAATATGGCTAGCAAGGTATGAAAATTTTAATTTCTGGATCGTGTTTTAATAAGTTAGTTGTAGGAGAGGATCTGCCTTAACACCGAGTTATCTCTACTCGACGTCATATGTTCTCGGACCGAGACCCACACCGAGCGGACCGGCGCTCCCGGACACTCCGCCGTCTTAATTGGAATCTCACCTTAAGCCCGAAAAGGCACCGCCCTGATTATCAAGAATATGAGAATGGCCACTGAGTTTTCCATCGCCAATCCTGAGTGACAAACCTTTAAGTAGAATTCCAGAAGAAAAGAATTGTTCTAGTGTATCTTGCCCCTGGGACTAGTGCAGTCAAATACATCATTTATTGTTCATAACTGAAAAACATGAGTCGTGATGGGAAACCCACAGAGTCTCGGCGGCTTCGTGGTGGTATAGTGGACCAACACCACGACTCCACACCTCGCAACGACCAAACAAGCACGGAAACAGACAACGTGCGATGATAAGACAAGTGGGAAGACGAGACGACCGATGTCATCATACTGGGCCAGACGAAATGATGCTCCAAAACTCTTTTATATCTCTTATCTCTCTTCTCCCTCTGACTCAACCTCCCCTCTAACAGCACGCTCTCCCCCTTATCACACACCAACCCATCATGTCTAATTATATCCCGTCTTTCTCTGCGCCCAACTCGAGGCCCGGGTCCCCTCTGCCTCTGGGGTCCCCGTCTGCTTCAAGACCTACGAGCTTCTACGCCAATTCCAGAGCGAATTCGTTCGTGGGCACGAGACGAAACTCTGCTGTTCCTCCGACGTCGAGAAAGAACTCTGTTGCTGCTCCTTCGAGAAAGAATTCTACTGCGCCCCCTTCAAGAAGAAATAGTGAGGATAAGGGTGCTTCGGATCCTGAGTCTACAGACCTCGAGGTTCTAAAGAATGAAAAGGGTGAACCCCTTGCTGGACGCATCGTTGGTGGTAAATATGTCGACCCAAGCAATGAATCCGTCGACCCGGAGTTTGGGGCTATCAAGACTGTTGATATCGATATGCCTCTTACCCTGATGGAACTTGTTAATGAGAAGGGCAAGGAATACATCGTGCTTGGTTTTGCGACTGGCGATAAAGAGAATCCTTTTAACTGGAATCCTTGGTATAAGCGATCCATCTCAACTATTCTCAACTTGATGACCTTGTTCATCGGTCTCGCTACTACAGCCTACAGCTCAGGTATTGCTGGCATGTGCAAGGACCTCGATGCTCCTAACATTAAGGGTCAATTGGGTCTTTTCACCTTCAACATCAGCTGTGCTGTCGCACCCATGGTTCTAGCTCCTTTCTGTGAGTTGGTTGGTCGCAAGGTCGTCTATGCCAGTTCATTCCTATGCTTCTCACTCCTCTTCATCGGTCTCGCTCTCGCCAAGGACATCGACACCATCATTGGCCTTCGCCTTCTCCTCGGTCTTTTCGGCTGCGTCGGCACTATTCTTGTCGGCGGTACCTTTGATGATATGTACGAGCCTCACCACCGAAGTAGGCCTATGGCCATGTTCAGTTGGGTCGCTATTTTCGGAACCGTTGCTGCTCCCATCTACGCTGGCTTCATTGACCAAGCTATTGGATGGCGATGGATTGAGGGTATTCAGGGCATTGCTAATGTTCCTCTGCTCCTCGTTATCTTCTTCTACTTCCCCGAAACTCGAGGTGGTGTCGCTCTTCATAAGCGAGCCAAGGCTCTTCGACAAGCTACTGGTGATGAGCGATATGTCTCTGCTGGTGATATCCTGACTCCCAGTCTACAGGCAATGCTTAAGGCTAGTTCCGTCAAGGCTATTCATATGTTGGTCACTGAGCCTGTCGTCTTCGCCTTTGGTCTCTGGATCGCTTTCTGCTGGGCTGTTGTCTTCCTCTTCCTTTCCGTTATCCCCATTACCTTCCAGGAGCACCACGGTTGGGGTGAGGGTGTCAGCGGTCTTCCCTACATCTCTCTCTGCATTGGTACTACTCTCGGCTGGTTGGCTCATCACCTCCAGATGCGCAAGTTTGACCGTCTTGTCGCCGACCCCAACGTCAAGGTCACCCCCGAAGCCCGTCTCTACGGCGCCATGTACGGAGCTGTCTTCCTCCCCATTGGCCTCTTCATTTACAGCTTCACCCAATATTCTCATGTCTCTTGGGTCGGTCCCGCAATTGGTCTTGCTCCCATTGCCTTTGGTATCTACTTTGTTTTCGAGAGTACCTACAGTTACACCGCTGATTGCTATGGCGAGAGCTCTTCTTCCGCCATTGCTGGCCAGGGTCTTATGCGAAACACTCTTGGCGCTGTTACGCCTTTGTTCGCCAATGCTTTCTTCCATAATGTCGGAAGTCAGTATGCCGGCCTCATCCTTGCCTTGTTTGGTACTGTACTGAGCTTGATTCCTTTCGTCATGTTCAAGTACGGATATAAGCTCCGAGCTCGCAGCAAGCTGGCTATTGAGATGTAATTTTACATGTATTATAGAAAACCCGTCAATGATCTGGAATGAAATAAGAAATAGATAGCATTGAACGATAGAATATTTGTTAATGAGACTGAATACACGAGCCTTGTGATGGCTTCAAGACATGTGAATAAAGAGATAGGAAGATTTATCGCGACAACAAGCGGTTATGTAGGTAGCTTGGTAGTGCTGGCGAAGAAAAAGTTGAGGAAAGGCTCCAGGCTCGATGCTGTGACAAAGTTTGTTTTTAAATAGATGATGTGTATATAAGTCTGTCTGCAATTGTGTCCTCCAACAAAATCACGAGGCATCGCCTCAAATCACCAGCGACCGTGGTGTAGTGGTTAGCATTAACGCCTTCCAAGCGTTAGAGAGGGGTTCGATTCCCCTCGGTCGCATTTTTGGTTCTAATGTGTCCGATCCCTGTAAGATGTCATATCCCTGTCCACATCGTGGTAGTGTCGTGATAGTCCAATACCAGAAAACCACTACAAATTGATTTAACCTGTCTAATGTTATTTTCTTTTTTTTTTTTTGCTTTTACCTTTTATACTTAAAAGAAATTTATTTTATAAATCACTAATATTTATCATATCAGGCTCTTAATCTAGACCCAGGAAGTCTTGTGTACTTGATTCAAAACACCATCTATGGGCAATGTTATTCTATGATATTTCCAATCAATGTTGCCAGCCAAAATAACGCCTGTAAATCTCAGTTGAACATCCTGAAGAAGCCTCCTCTGAGCAGACCACTGATCCCCGTCTAACAGTTTACTCCCCTTTGCTATTAACCGACCCAACCTTCTCATCCTCGACATCCATAAATTCCTCCGTACATGACCATCATCATCGCCATCCTGAATACTGGCCACAACACATACCTCTAATCAATGATCAGCCTGCTGATGGTCTGATTGAAGGTCTCGGTCTTGTAACCCCAGACTGTCAAGTAGCTTTGTACAAATATTGATGAGAAGGATGACATTCCGTGGTTGAGAAGAGCACTTTGAACGATGGAGCAACTCTTCACACCTTGATATAGCTGCCTTTTGAGCCTGTAATGATTTTGGACACGTGGGGTGCTTGGAAGAGACGGTGATTGTGAGGGCCTCCCATGTTTCCATAGGAGTGATAGAACATTGACAAGATGATATTCTATCGTCCGAGGAACCATGTTCAGGGAGTTCTTCTGTCGTTGCTGGCCAATTTCTACTATTTGATATCATCGATTGCAGGAAGGGGAAGCTATCCTCTGGATAGAGATCGTCATCGAGTATGCTTTCCAGAGGAGGTGAAGTCAGAAAGCTTCCGGGAAAGTTCAAGGCTTGGTCCATGCTGACGGTTGAATCGAACGTTGTGTCATGACTGAAATCTCGAGTGTTTGTAGGAGTTAACGATATGTCTTGTGGAGACCCAAAAATAAATTCAGACCAATCCGGTTCCATGTGGTGAAGTTCGGGCTGCATACCCTCGCACTCCTGAACTACGGCCTCACTCATGTTGGAGCTCTGTATGTTTCCGGAATCGTCCTCGGCATTATACGATCCATCAGTGAAAGTGGTGGGTCATCAGCCCTCCAGATCTCGATCCAGACCTCTCCTTCTGTTTCGCCTGTCTTCTTCCTTTGACAGAACCAAAGTTGTGCTCGGTATCACTGTCGGCTCCGTATTCGCAATGCAGGTTCCGACTACGACAGTTTCTGCAGCCATTCAGCTTTATACTGTAGCCATTGGTCAGTCATCGTGGTATCGATGTCTAANNGTGGCTGTGAGCTTATTCCAGCAAAGAGAACCTAGTTTCTGCAGCCATCAGGTTCACTTGTGCAACGTATCTGTCACCTTGAACCAGGTTAGTGCATGAACTTGGTTTGCATAGCGGCTGAAACATACCTTTCTTGTACGGCAGGGATCGCAAGCAGATCGTCGAGGCTTTCATTTTGAGCTTTTTCGAACGGTGGTCCAGTGGGAAGGACTACATATGAGTTACTGTTCTGCTTCCAAGTGTTGAACATGGTGATAATGTCGCGAGGGGGGTTACAGATTGCGATGCTACCACGAAAGCAGAGTTTATATCACTACTCTTATGTCTGCTGCTTGCTAGTTGTCGGTAAGATTCATGATTGTCTCCAACGCCAGGACATTGTAACTTCGAGACTACAGTGACAAGACCAGGCTATACAGATCAGGACCACCACGGGGAGATGATTCAATAGAAAATTGAGGAAGGAGTTTTAAATTGCGCATATTCATTCGATTCTAAGCTAGAGTACCTCTTTGCGGCCATTCCCATCCAACTCGGACTCTCCAGAAAGCGGCTCCTAGATACGTCTACCGAAGCCCATTGACCTTGATCAAAACGTCGTCCTCAATATGAAGAGCAATGTAGTCCTTCCATCGAAGCGCGCCTTGGTTCTTGTCATGTAAGCTCAGGTCGAATCGTCGAATGAGGTTCCCGAGGAAGATGTAGGCTTCCATGTAGGACAAGTTCAGGCCAACGCACATATGCGGACCGTTACTGAAAGGAATCGGATTCTTCTTGGAAGCTTTGTCGCTGTTGTCGAGCCATCGCTCGGGCATGAAGGTCTCGGGCTCCGGGAACAGGACTGGGTCGTAGTGGATCAGACGCTGGGCCGTTGATACGGAAGTCTAGGTGAGGGTTGTGTCAGTGAGGACGTAAACGCCCACTAAAGGTGTAGGAATACTTACATCTGCAGGCAAGAAGTGGCTACCATATTTTGTGCCGCCGGATGGCACAAGACGTGTAAGGATGCCTGGAGCTGGGGAGAAGATGCGAAGAGTCTCGTGAATCACGGCAGTCTAGAGATGTCGCAGTAAGTAATCCGACACCGAAACCAGGCCGCTGTAGTTTGTACTTACCAAGTAAGGTAAATTCATCAGATTCGGATACTCCATCAACCCATCGCTATTCGTCTCGACAGTGCGAAGCTCCTCCAGCATCATCTTCTCAACTTCGGGATTCTTCAAGATGCACCAAACTCCATAGGTAATGGTCGTCACAGTAGTCTCAATACCGCCGATGACGAGTGAAAAGGCCTCATCAACCAGTCCCTTAGTCGAGCGATCGGGCTCGGCGGCTAGAATGGCGTCGAAGGCGGTTTCACGACCAGTCCCATCGGTGTAGACACCATTCTGATGTCTCTCGCGCACTTCGTTCGCCCATTGAGCACATAGCTACGGAGTAGACAATGTTAGCCTTGCTGCAAATTAGGTGATAGAAGCGGGGATAAAATGGACTTACGTTGCGGAACTCGACGAAAACTGGAATGATGTAGATTAAAACATGAGCGGGAAAGGATTGCATGATCTTTCCAAGCATAGGAAAGTACTTGATGAGACTGAAGCTATGGGGCAGAGCCACCATCGAATTGACGAGTGCCTCTGTTCCTTCTTTTCCTTCAGTGCAGCCCATATCTTTCCCGAAGCAAAGCTTCATGATGATGTCCATCTGTTCATCTTGTCAGCATGCTCCCGCTCAACTAACACTGGGGATTGTCGTACAGCAAAGTTTGACTCAAGTCGCTTCAAGCTAACAGGCTTCCCGGTCTCATACGAGTCACCAATCTTCTTAAGAGCACCCTTGATGATCTGGAGAGCTAGAGGTGAGAAATCCTTGATCGCGCGGGGCGAGAACATAGGGTTGACAATGCCGCGACGGACTTTGTGAGCTGCGGGATCCATGATAAAAGGCAGGGCGTCGAGTTCACCAGCGAATCTGAACTTGGCAGGCTCCTTGAGGAACTTGGTTCCAGTGGAATAAACCCTTTAGTAGACACAGCGGTTAGTAGCGTATACATGCGATCGGGGTATTTGCGTGCTCACTTGTGATAGAAGTTTGGGTCATTGATATGGACTCTGTTAGGGCTCATTCGGACAATCGGGCCTGAGATCATGTCCGCAACCAAAACACATATACCAGGGCACTTTCGCTTACCATATTTCTCGTGAAATCGGGGATAGTCTTTTATGTAGTGGCCATCGAGAATGACGCCCTGGTAGAACTCATACCAGCTGGTAGCCGCCGCGATTTTCGGCCCGGGGACGTTCCTAAGAGGATGCAAGAAGAGGCGATAAAATACGAGGGAGAGCCAATAAAACGCAAAGGCTCCAAAGACTAGAGCGGTATAGTAGATGACGCTCCATGAAGTAGAGGTTGGCGACCAGATACGTGCCGATAAGAAGCCAGTGTTGAACATGGTTTCACGTGGAATGATGAGATTGATGGAAGACATGGCGAAGGGTGTACTTGTCTCAATATCTTTTGTCTCTTCATTTTAATGACTCTCCCTCAAGCCTTTCTAACAAGTTAATTTGTTGTAAGAAGTCTGTAACTCAGTCTATGTTTATGGAAAGGTCTCCCGAATAGGTATTTTTCCAGCTCCGTAGGATGCCGGCTCACAGATCGTTGGCTGACAGAGAGCGGATATGCCCAAAATGGCATCTTTTCGTGCTTACACTGTCAAGACGACTACCTTTTTGTGGCAGAAAGTTGATACTCAATCTTTTGTTACAAATGGTATATTTAAAGTCGTCGTGCATCACGTCCCGAGGAACAGCACACCATTACAAACTCATCATTCCCTTTGGCAATTTATACGATCCATCTCAACTAAATCAAGATGATTGCGACTATAAACGGATACACAAAGATCAACGGAAAAGGCCATCCAACTGAAGTCCGCATTCCGGACATGTTTGGTTCCATAATGTCTCCGACGCCTGTGGTGAACCCTCACCACTTCAAGGTCAAGGCCGCAGCCGACGCCTTCATAGCTGAGTGAGTTTACCCCATCTCTTCTCATAGTGAAGTATATTCTAACTGAAGTCTAGTTATCTCAAGATGGACCAGCACGAAGCGGCCAAGAACAGAAAGGCCGACTTCTGTTTCTGCGCCTCGGCCATGGCTCCTCATGCGGATGCAGAAGCACTCAGGACCATGGTTGACTGGCTGAACTGGGTATGCAACAGAGCCATCAGACACTCCGAGTTTCAGGGCACCGACTGATCTGGGTGATTAGATCTTTTACTTTGACGATGACTTTGACGAGGGTCAGCTTGACCAAGACCCAGTAGACGCAGAGAAAGAGATCAGACACACACTAGCTGTACTGGAAGATGGCGCTGAGATTCCTGATAGAGAGCAATATCCCTTGCGATATTTGTTCCGTACCATCTGGGATCGAGTTAAGAGGTACGCCTTGCTAAAAAATCTCGTTCATAGAGCTTTACTAACAGTATCTGTACGCAGAGAGCTTATCCTGATGTTCAAACGCAGTTCAAGATCACACACAAGCGATACTTGGACGGTCTATTACATCAGGTCGAGGCGACACGGGATGGCAACGGTCAGCCTCGGACGGAAGAGGACTACATCAGAATGCGAAGAAGGACTGTTGGTGGAGATCCATGCATCAGTCTCATCGCGTGAGTCTTGGTCCAATTGTTTGTGTCGAATTGAGATTCACTATGCTTTTTTCACAGCTATGCCCACAACGTAAACTTGTCGCAGCAGGCATTTGAGCACCCCTCTGTTCAGGAATGCATAGCTGTAGGCTGCGATCTCGCTTGGATGGAAGTGACACACTCTCCCTCCACGGGATCTCTGCTAATGCATAGCAGCCACGACGATATCGTTTCATACAAGAAAGATGTCAAGCCAGGTATTGAGCACAACTTTGTCACAGTCCTGAAGAAGAACGGTTTCACCACTCAACAAGCCATGGACAGAGCTGGTGAACTCCAGGATGAGTGCTACCGTCGTTCGTATCTCGCCCTAGCTAGTATGCCAATCTGGGGCGAGTCCATCGATCGTGAGGTGTTGAGATATATCGAGGCATGCCACAGCTTTCCTCTCGGGGACTTGCTTTGGAGCTTCCAGACAGGGCGATATTTGGGAGCCACAGAGGGATACAAGTTGCATGAGACGAGGGTTTTGGACCTGTCAGACTTGGAGCCTATCGCTGTGTGATATCCTGATGCCTCTAAGTGGCAGGGTCGTTGAGCAGCAAACGAAGGGTTTTCTGTTTTAGACTAAGGTAGCATTGGAGATTACAAATTGGCATTTGCGACATCGGTACCTCGTCATATACTTCATAAATGGCATTATCAGCTATCTCAATGCAATAATTAATCGACATTGGCTGCTTGAATCAGTACGTCCTGGAAATAGGGAATTAGTGGGGAATAAGATGGCGTGCTCGCATCAGTGTCGGGGTTCATCCGATAAGTTACACTTGGGGTAAGACTCAATTGAGATACCATGACTTGAGTTATTAGTGATGTTCATCTACTTAAGATGAGTTCATAACTTACTTCAAATAATCTGTAATGATCATGTCGAGTCGAAAAGAGTCACCTAAGCTCGAGGTAGCGATCGCTGGTGGAGGCATCGCAGGCCTTATCACAGCGATCGCACTCCTCAAACACCCTAACGTCAATGTAAAAGTCTACGAGCGAGCACCAGAGTTTAAAGAAATCGGAGCAAGTATAGCCCTGGGCCCCAATGGCCTCAGAACCCTTGATCGACTTGGTGTCGAAAATGCCCTGGCTGAAGGCTTTGCGCAACGCCAAAAGTCTGGATATCCCATGATATACCGGCACTGGAAGACCGGAGAGGTCATCGATTATGATGTTCACAGTACAGTGCAGAGCAAGAAACATGCGACTGCGCGATTTCATCGTGCACATCTTCATCAGGCGCTGTTGGAGAATTTGCCAGTGGGTATTGTTCATTTGGGGAAGACGACGGTTGATGTTAAGGCGGATCCTGACGAGGGGGCCACACTTTACTTTGAGGACGGGACCACGGCAACGGCTGATATTGTTATCGGTGCCGATGGTCTTCGGTCGGTAAGTTCATGCAAGTGATGGTGGATCAGAAAGCTAATGTAGTGACAGAAAGTCCGAAAGACATTTGTCCCGGAGCATGAATTGCATTGGACAGGATGGGTCGCTTTCCGCGCAGTCTTTGATGCCGATAGATTGAAGGATGTTGAGTATCCTGAGGACGCAGCTCACTGGGTAAGTCCTGAAATACTCTAAAACTAGCAGGCTGCTAATGAATCAACAGGCAGGCCATGAGACAACATTCTTCCATTCGCATCTAGGTAAGAGGCCAGCACCTCTTTGCCAAAGCTGTCACTAATGCATAACTACAGGCAAAGGCCTGTTCACAATAGTCGGTGGCTACCACGCTGATCCTAAAGACCCCAAGTCCCCCGGCAAAGACGCAAAGTGGGATGAAGATGGCAGTGTCGAGGAGTTCAAGAGGTTATACCAAGTAAGCGAGCCTTCCCAAGAACCATTAACTATGCTAACACCCCCAAGCATTGGAACCCAACAATTCGGGCGTTCATAGACGCAACTCCCTACGTGAAACTCTTCCCCAACTACGCCGGCGCAGCTCTCGATACATGGTCCTTCTCCAACCGTGTAGCTCTCGTCGGCGACGCAGCTCACACCCACGGCGGATCCTTCGCAGCAGGGGGGTCACTCGCTATCGACGACGCATATGCCTTGTATCGCTCGCTCGACCACATTTGGCCTCCTTCTTCAGCGCAAACGGGAAAGCCGACCAAGGCTCAGATTGCGCAGGTATTTGAGCTATATGAGGCCACTCGCAAGCCGCATCTGGATAAGCTCTTGGGTATCGTCCATAAGAACATTTCGGGACAGAGGTCGAATATCGAGAGAGCGACGACGGAAACTGACGAGGAGTTAAGACGGCGGGTTAAGGGGAGGATGAATCCTTCTTGGATTAGTGAGCATGATGTTGTTGCTGCGTTTGAGCGGGCTGTTGAGAGGACAGAATGTACTAAGGCAAAACCACACCTTTGAATACTTAACATAGCTCAATCAGTCAGCTTTTAAAGCATGCTAAAAGAAATCTCAGTCGACCCAATGTACGAAAAACGAGCCCCGTGGCAATATGTGTCCCATCACGCACCCAGCGAGACATTTAAACCACACTGCGTGGCATTAGGAGACTTTAACTGGCATCTGGAGTTGAACGTTTATTCAGTGTCTAGAAGTGAAACCTTAAGAAAGAAGTAAGGTCTTGTTCTCTTAAACCTTTCTACTAATACGTTTAATGAGACAAAATGTGTCTATGTGTCGGAATGGTGTCCGAATTTAAAGGTACTGCGCCCGGTTTGGATAGGTACATAGGTACCAGTCAGGCTAGGAGGGATATATAGAGATCTTCTTCAAGAACCTACTTCACTTGGAATAGCACAAGAGTATTATTTGTCTGTAGTTTATCTAGAATGAATCGTGATAGAATTATATATAAAACAAGTATACAAAGATGCTGAACGCCATTGCTGCCCCCCCGTAGTCAAGTTCATTTCCAGGTGTTTCCAACACGGTTCAATATTTTTGCTTGAGGTGCAAACCTAGCTGTAAAGGCCTTTATAACACTTTCGCCCCTGAAGCAGTACTGGAGAGAGCTATCCAACATCTTTTCTTTTATCGACTTGATTCCCTCGACCGCAGCCCCGATGAGTGGTTTGAGCACATCTTTTGCGTTTGTGGGGTATGTGATATTTGTGGTATTACGAGATGCAGGCTCCCATGGGAAATTGATTTTGTCGGTGGCTATGTTTGCTTCCCTGCTGATGTAAACATCTGCGTCTGAGTGTTCCCAGACGTTTTTGAGGACAGACCACGCGTCTAGCGACTTCCCAATAGCTCCAAGCACTCCTTCAAAAATGCCTGGGGTTGTTGCTAGGCGGTTAAGAAGAATAGTCTAGGAAGAGAGTCTATAAGTAATTGTGTAAATCTAGTCATGAATAGAAGTGAAGGGAAGAAGAAAGTGATTGCAATCTTTCTCTTACTTACCGCGAGAACTTCAGCGCTCCCTTCTTTTCCTGTTGCCCAGATTCTGTAGTCTATAATCTTTAACTGTCGGCGTCCTTTATCATCATTGATTGTGCCAGCAACGGCCGCATTAACCCACTCCTGTGGCACCTGTATTTCGATGATAACACCATCCGCGACATAACCCGCATGCTCAGCTGCCCGACTCCGCTCATTAGTCCAGTATGTTGCAGCATCCTCCACCGTACTTAGATCTCCAGGTCTGAATTCGTACTGGCCGTTCCCTTCCCTGTCATAAGACACAATGCTGTTCCATTCACCTTTTAAGAATCTCTCGGCTCTGTCTCTGGCTGTGCCACGATACAGTGTGACGACGCCTTTGCCTTCACCGGTGTTCTTGGAAGTCGTGGGTTGCTGCGACTTATCCGGCGTTTCATTCCCCCTTTTACCTGAGTCCTTACTCGTGGTATTCGGTCGTGGATTCCCAGTTTTGGGTTTTGCCATGGTGCCTGTATGGTCGCTGCTGTTGACAGGGTCATTGCCAACGTAGCAAAACAGATTATGACCATCCGCTGTACCAAGCGGATCTGGAGATAGCCAACGACCCAGCCAACAGGCGTAGTATCGTTCTCCACAAAGATAAAGACCGCTCTCTTGGTCCCGTTCGTATGAGGCGAATCGGTACTTGCGTGGTGCTGCCCCTTTTGTCTTTGCTGAGTAGGTGCTGACACCATAAGCCGTGAACTCCTCGTAAGAGACGACGCGTGCTTTGTCATCTAGCTCTAGACGATCACCTATCTGATATCGCACCAGGTGTGACTGCCTTCGTGAGTCCTGCTCGACCAGAGCAGCTGCTCCTTCAGAGAGTTCTGATGCCCTGACATGAAAGGTGTTGATTCGATGGCAGATCACCCTCCCGTTTCCTTCGTATACCATATAGTTGTCCATAAAGGGTAGATATAGGGTCTCACAGCGCTTCACACCACCTCCAACATCATTGTAGTAAGAGGAGCGTTCAGTAACCTTCCGTACCCGTTCACCATCAGAATTGTACACATGCCACGTCATTTCAGGCAATGCACCCTCTGTAACCCTTTGCGTGGCAAATGCCCGGAGACGGTCATGATGGTCCCAGCGAATGTCTGAGTATCCAGACATGGACGTAATGCACCCACCAATTCCTGAAATACCATCGTAGCCGTAGTGAGTCGTCGAATTACCAACGGTGGAGCTGCTTAGACGGTTGTTGTGAACATTTGGATCAATGTGGCTAGGCTCTTCGTATTTGTATCTTCTAGTCCACCCACTCCCAGACTGAAGTCCATGCTCCATCCTCAATATGTTTCCACAAACATCGTAGGTGTACCTCTCTACATACGGTGCCATTTGTTTCCCGTCTCCTGGAAAATTGGTAGAGCGACCTAGGTGAAAATCTGGTGGACTGATTCTCCCAGGACCGTCAGGAGACTTGTCAACCTGCTCACGACCCCTGGACTCAACCAACTGGCCGAGAGAGTCGTAGGTAAAGTCTTCAGTAGGACTTATACGACAATTGTCAAAGAAGAGAGTCTGTTGTGCCTTATCTTCCCTTCGCACTAGTCGGCCCATGCAGTCGTACCAGGATGAGATGTCCTGTAGCACACGACCGTCCTCAGTGCTAGTGGTGCGACTTTTCAGTAATCTGCGATCAGATATACCATAGGTGTTTTTGACCAAGGCTCCGTTGCCATAGAGAATCGAGCCCACTTGATCGTCGGGCTCGTATGTAACATGGTCGATAGAGGCTGTGGCAATAACACTACTGTCAGACGCGTAGGCTTCGACCTTCGCCAATCGCCCAGCGAGATCAAAGGATCGTTTGAGAGAGTCACCTCCCGGGGCAACAACATGGATATTCTGCCCCAGGGCATTGAAGAATGTCTCTGTTGTGTATATCCTCGGCTCCAACTGTGGGCTCTCCTCTGCTCCCCAGTCCAGCATCTGCTTATACTCTGTGGCGTATTGTACAGTTGATAAGGTGCAGTTGCCTGCAAGGTCATAGCACTGGTTGGTCCGTAGCCCAGACTGGTCGAAGCATCGATAAACCCTCCCCAAAAGATTCTTCTCGGCACCTTGGGGCTGGCTTTCACCATAAATGTTCCTCATCAAAACAATCTCGGAAGTGGCATATGGTTTTGAAGTTTGTAACGTGACCTTGGTCAACCGGCGCAACTTGTCATAGTGATGACTCTGCCTACGCCCCTGTTCGTCCCAAGATACAAGAGGTTGTCCGGCACAGTCTGGGAACACCCATCTCGCACCACGATCCATACTAAGTTGAAGCAGTGGCCGTCCGAGCAGGTCAAACTCAGATTTAATCACTATGCGATCCATGCCATCGATCTCAGCACATGGGTTTCCGTATATATCGTATTCAACCCAGGCGCGACGTGACGAACTCTCTGAACGGTCCATGACTTGTTCTGACAACGTGGGGCGACCCAGGACATCGAAATGAGTTATTGAAGGCGTATCTCTGTAGACAAGGGCCTTTTCCCCAGCGTTTCTGTCCTCTGAAATCATGGAGAGGTGTTTCTGTTGGTACCATGTAGGTAGATACTTATCCTCTGAGATCTCCTGGAGGAAACAGCCAATATCCTCATCCTTCAGAGGGTTTTCCACGGCGATGAGGTCCCCGACATCGTAGTCAATTTGTTTCCACGCCTCGTAGACCGTTTTGGACCATGTATGATCTGGGTGTAGCACGCCTACAACTCTAGACATGGCGTCATAGAAGGTTGTTGTTGAGTATTGACGAATCTCAGTGTCAGGATGCATGTCAATCTTGCAAAACGCTGGCGATGAGACATGACAAGGCTGAAAGACTTCTACCGGCTGCCCCGCCTGGTTGCAGATCGCCCAGTCGCAGAGCTGCCATGTCGCTCCTTTTTCGCTTTGGTTCACAAGCTTCAGCTTTTGGATTGATTGCCCCGAACCATCCAAGTACGTAATCTGTATATGAATGTCGGTAGGGATTGGATCGTTGACATGTCTGTTGCGAAGAAACTCTAGTTGAGCTGTAGGCCTCACAGGCGTTGGCCGAGTTGCATCATCTGAGTCTGGTCTGCAAGGCCTGCCCATGCTGTAGACAATTCTGTGACTCGCATGCCCCAGAGCCTCAGCGCCTAGCGGTCCAGAGGGGTCTTTGAGAAGAAGATCCAAATACTCATCAGATACAATGAGCTCGAGTTCGCTCACAGAGTTCCCTGTCTCAGATCCGCCTTTTCCACCAACACCAACGGCCACACAACGGCCGAGGGGGTCAACCAGTGTCTCACTACAGTTGTTGTTCGCGTCTGTAATGACATGTGGCATCATGTGAACATACTCGTGGCTAATAGTTGTTCTATTGCCTACAGCATCTGTGAGAAGCTGCGGCAGCAAACAGACTTCGTCCATCTCAATACGTGAAATAGCTCCGAAGGCGTCGATCTCGCCACTTGGCGTGTAGAAGTGAGACCGAGCAAAATTCAGCGCGTCTTCCTCCTTGTCGCCGTACATCTGCCTTACTGAAGGAACCCACCATTCGTTACTCCCAGCATCTAGCTCAGCGTATCCCCCATCTTTGAGGACATTGGTGCGAGCTATGTGATCATTGAAGGGGTCCAGATGCTTCTGGAGCATCAAATCTGTCAGTGCGAGCTGGTATCCTTGGTATTGCACTGAAAATGCGTGCAGTTGCCCCAATGGAAGTGGCCTAAGCAAGTCTTCGGCTGTGTACAGGACTCGCGCTGATGAGACAAGCACACAACAGCCATTCTTCGTCGGCGGTCTGTCTTTGACTTTGGGAAGTTGACGACAGATCTTTCTCAAGCTTTCCCTCTTGTATCTGGACCCTAGAGTAGGTTTCGACTTTTGATCTGGAAATAGGCGATACTGTCGATTCTCAGATATAAGCGGCGCCCGTATCTTGTTTGCTTCCTCAACAGCATTGGTAAAAGAAGCGTTACTATATGTGAGTATGTCCTCATTGCTTCCAACTCTATCGACTTGGTCCGTGCTGTCTGTCCTTGCGTAGTTGATCTCAACGACCTGACACACATTTCCGTGCCTATCTGTCTCCAAAACTAACTGGTGCGTGATTTTGGGGCTCTTCGCATCGCTCCTCTCGTAGACCGCAGTGACAATTTCTCTGCCGTTCACGCGGAATGAGCCACGACTAGCCTCGTTTGCCTTAGAACTCTGTTCCATGACAACTTCATATGACTGTTGTTCGCACTGGTAGGGTACGTTCTCCTTGGTGGTTTTGTCTAAGTTGAATATCTCCGTGCAGCGAACCAACCCTGATAGAGATACGTATGCCTCCCGCAAATCTTGCCAGTGAAGTTTGGGCGGCATCTCAGCACTTATGAGAGGGTCCAAAAGTCCAAGGTTATGTGACGGGAAACTAGCCGGTGGTGTAACCACTGCATCGAGGGGCCCTAGTCCAGTAAAGTACCATGTCTTTGTAAGAACCGGGGGACTGGCAATGGTCCCAGTTACTTCACGATCAACTTTGTCCACCCGTTGGAAACCCCGGAATTCCCGATCTACAGGGTCATAGTATCCATTGTAATAATCAAACCGGGACTCCACTGAGGTCCTTGCCACAGTGTCCCGGGTAGTAACTTGGGAAACGCACAACACTGGGAAAGGCAGACGAGTAACCCATGGCTGTCCAGCTCTTTCGTCTTCAAGACGATAAAGCGTCGATGAGCGGTACTCAAGCTCCACCTCCAGACCAGTTCCATTCTCCATTTTGCGAACTAATCCCGGACGTGAACCCGCTGTCAAATCGAGGAAATGCACTTCTGCCATGCCCTGACTTGGTAAATCAGAGGCCCAGCACAGAGCAGGCGAACCTCTCCCTGCAATGTCAAACACATCAACCCAAGAGAACCTGTCCAGTGGAGGCACGGTAGGAATAATGTAGGGATCGGACCACTGGATCCCAAATTGATTATAGTAGACAGCAGCGCCACCACCTGGACGGAGATAGATGAGATCAGCTCCTCCTACACCAGACACATTAGCGAGGCGAAGCCTTTGCGGCGAGAAGTCAGCCTCCACTGGGGCACTGGACATATCGACAGGCCTGCCAAAACGACCGTGACCCATATTGGGCCAATATCGAACAGACCCGTATCTGATTATCACAACATCGCCAAGTCCGTCTCCGACCATGTCGCAGATAAAGAAAGTGTCCCGACGTTCGCCGTCTAATATGGGAGCATGCTGTGTTCGTTGGACTGATCCGTATCCTTTTTTGCCTAGGGATGGGTACCAGTTGAACTCTCCATCCGATATAGCTCCCATATCAATGAGATCAGAATGGCCATCACCTACAAGGTCGACTTGTGTCATCCACCTATCCCCCGACACAGAAGGATACGATGCAAAGGGGATGAAGCTAGTGAATTCACCGTCTTGGCACCGTTCGTAGAACCCCTGAACCTCGCCATCTGGTGACCTACTAATTAGCCTAAGCAGACCATCACCTTCTAGGTCTGCCCATATGCCCTCGGTCCCACTACCATCTAGACTCGGCTTCGCGGGTACGATGCCAGGTCCTTCAAGAGAGACTTTGAGACCGTCGCTCTGATTTCTGTAGTAGTACCAGTCTGCTCCCGGCACCTTGGCCAAGACTCCTGGAAGCCCTTCTCCATCCAGGTCAATCCATTGAGCAGTCACTGAAGATCCTAGGCCAGTTACAGGCACGTCTACCTCTTCCACATTGACCTCCCCCTCGTTTGGAGGCTTAGTGTACTGCAGTGTCACCGGTGGAAGCCAAAGGCTGCGAAGATCGTGCGACCCTTGGGGACTATGACCACCGACGAAGCAAGATGTTAGGAGGGAAGTCCCAGAGCGCGAGTCGACCTCATAATTTAGTACGAGGGACTTTACTAGGCAGTCTTGCCGAGCGAGCTTGTCAGGAAAATGGTGAAACATCAAGAACCGACGACAAAGACGAAAGGTGTTTATGGCAAAGCCACAGGAGTATGTTGTGAATGGATCCCAACGAGCCTTCCACTCCTCTGTAGTTACTGTTGTAGGCGTGTCTTCGTCATGCTCACCGTAGTCAAGAACCAATTCGAACAGCCACTTTTGCTTCTCAGTAGACTCCTTTCCCAATACCTCCCATGTCTGAAGGTCCCTATTTGGCATCTCGTTCCCATAACGCACCGACTTGAGATAACGCATCGCCTGAGAGCGAGACGTTGGATCTAGGAAATGGCTCGGAGCGCCCTTGATGTCTTCTTTCCTGTAAGAGAAGATCATGTTGTTTCCATTGCCGTCATAGGTCTCAGCAACCAGCCATGAGAAGATGCGCAAGGGCTCATCAGGGTCAAAGATGCGAGATTCTTCGTCCTTCCCAAAACGAACAGTCACATTATCCCCGGATATAGTTTTCCAGAAGGCATCATGAGGATTCTCGCGGTTCTTCCAGTGCTCTATCCGCACAAGCCCCTGTGCGATACGTGGTCGGTATCGAGAAATGATGTAGTCGGTTACATCCTTTTCATCATAAAGATCGTGAGAACCGTCAACTGGAATAAGTTCGCCAAAGCCAGAGTGAACAAACACGTCTACTTCATCATCATAGACCGGTACACCCCGAGAGGTCAGTCTGGAGATAGTCTGTAAGCCTCCGAGCTGCCAACCGCTGCCAAAAGAGCCGTTGGTCGATGCTGCTGCAGATTGGTAAACGAGACTGAGATCTGGCCCGAAGCCACCACGGCCTTTGGTAATGGGAATCGGGATGCTAAAACTGGTTCCACCTGTACAAGAATTGACTTGGAAGCGCTCGGCAACCGGGAGCTGTTGAGAGCTGTCGGCTAGGAGGTTGCCGGGAGCATCTGATGAAGACAGGTCCAGGCCCGACATCAACTCGTTAAAATTGGTCTACGAGATAGCCAGTCAGTAGGATATACTCCGAAAAGGATTGAGAAAACGTACATTAGAGTTAGCCCCAGAAATGTTGGGTGGATTAAATTTGTCCATCCTGGCGTTGTTTCCTTTTCTTTTCTTTTATGTATTGTATGCAAGTTGAATAATCTTTGCTTTGTGAACTGGTACTCTCAAGGGGAATTTAAATCTGATCGGTATTAGGTACGAGATTATAGGTAAGATGTAGGCATACGTGAATGTAGGTAGAACAGGGAAGAGAGGCTGCCCACAGAGTGATTTATTTCCGCAACGATCACTATTTCGATTCCTAACAAAAAGCCGATCGGTGGAATAAATGCTAAGTGCGAGTGCTAGAGAAAATGATATGTCTGCTATGTCCGCATTATTCGTCTGCGGTGTGACGCTTTTGGCGCTCAGGCCGTGTCATGTAAGAATCTCAGCTGTCAACAGTCAGATTATCATTCCCCAATTCGGTATTATTGGTCGATCACCAAGCCGTGCCGTGCCGTGCCGTCCCTCCCATGCCGCAAGCCCCAGCCGCTGTAGAATCGTGTGGCTACCTTATAGGCTTGGACATCCAGGAGCTTTAGTTTCTAACTACTGTACCTGGCTGCATTTGGAGCACACCCTCCAACACAGAGAAGCTGCAATTTCACATATAGCACGTCCACATGGAGAGTAAAATTGTGCTGATTAGCATATCCATCAACCTCCATACATTCATCACTGTTACCCCTTTCTTGAAGGAGAGCATCAGTGGCTGTATTACACTATATTCAACTTCTTTACTTTACCAATTCAAACAGCTGACATGGAAGAATCACAGAAGCTTGAAAACTTGGTATCAGAGGTTGTTGACATCACTCGCTTTGACCAGCCATTGGAGGTTACGGCTAGCATTGTTAACAATGCCGCCAGTGATGATGTGTCTCTCCATGCACTTCTTCTCGAAACTTTAAAGACAGCCTCTGAATTATCAGAAAGAGACGGGATCAAACTTCGACTACTTGCAGCCGTGGCCAGTAAGAATGCCCATGCGAAAGACGGGCTGATCGATTTGAAGCGCCTTTTCGACCTCGGCCTTCTTCGAAACATCTCTCAGCAGTCCATGATCAAACTTCGCCTCAAGGCATCTGAGCTGACGGGTGACGATGCTACAGTCGTCCAAGTTGAACCTAGCAGTGGAGATGATGTCGAATTGACAGAACCTGGAACGGACTGGGACCACCTCCGCTCTGTGATTCTCCAGGAACATGGAGATGATGAGAGCCGCAATGACTCAGAGGTCACTCCTGAGGGTCTTCAACAGGGTCTTTCGACCAACATCCAGCTCTGGCAGAGTCAGGACGCCGACAGGCTCAGGCAGATGGTCCGCCTTGCCGGGCAACCTGAAGACTTGACCGCTCTGATGACCTGCGATTACACCGACGCTCGTTCTGTTTCTGCTAAAGGAACCATCCTCCTTCCCACCCTGGCAGAATACGACATACCTGCTGAAAGAGCTGACGATATTCTGCACAAGGCCCAGCTCATAACAGAGGGAGGAGATCACGCGGAGAGGACACTCCTTCAATCCGATAGCAACGTTGCTATTTTCACCTCAGCGAATGCCTCCAACCTCAGCCCTGGAGCCCAAGCAGCCAAGGCGGCCTTTTCTGCCGGTGTCAGCTTCAGTTCCATGTTTCAGGCGACATATCCACAAGGTTGCGAGCATTGTGCCTCTGTAACTGGCCCCAGTGCATTCTTTGTCCACTTGCTACACACTCTAGCAGGTGTAAGCGTTGGTGGCAGCAAGTCGAGCCTGCGAGACCAGCTATTCCAGCGCCGCCCTGACCTAGCTCACCTGCAGCTTACCTGCACCAATACCAACGTCCTAATTCCCTACGTAGACATAGTCAACGAGACGCTTGAGGCTATCGCCTGGGTTGACGCGAACCCAGGTACAGATGTGCCGCCGCCTTACAACATGGGTGGACAAGATACCACCGAGCTCAACACAGGGCGCCCGCAGCATACCCTGATCAAGGTTTATCAGGATGTCATTCAGCCACTGGTAACTCCCATGGCTACATTCCCATTCAACCATGCTACGCAGCGTCTAAGGGCGTACCTAAAGGCTCTGAACACTTCTTTGGAGGAAGTCCTCAGGGTGTTTCGTGCACCGCTACGAATGTCAGACAAAGTGTCAGACAAAGTTCGAGAGACAATTATTGGTCGTTTCTCGGAGTCTGAGGCCCTGTCCCTGCAACACGAAGACTACAACATCATCTGTGGGCAAGATATCTGGGACACTTCTGAACCGAAAAACCGGTTCGATGTGTCATGTCACCGATCTTGGGGATTTGAAAGCGAAAAGGAGATGCTCAGCCCCGACAAGGGACTTACGTGCATCCAATCATCACTACTTTCTCGCAGCGGCATGACACTAGAAGAGCTGGTGGATCTTCTGCGGACGGAACTCTTCCATAGTCGCCTCATTATCACATCTAAGGATGGAAACCTCGCTGACGATAACTTGGACATGTTACGCCTGGAGCACCGTAAAGGAATCAACACCAGTCTGCCTACCTTGCGGGTGGATGACTGTTGGTTACTGCAGGGTTTCATACGGCTCAGAAAGAGTCTGGACTGGCCAGTTGAACAACTCAGCGCAGTCTTGTATAGCCTTGAGATAATTGGCCCAAAGTTATTCAAACCCGCTACTCTGTCGAAGCTTGCTGCAGTTAAGGAGCTAGCTAGGCTCACTGGTCTCTCGCCAGTTGAACTGCAACCGTTCTGGGCTCCTATGGATCACTTCGGCCCGATGTCCTTGTACGCGCAGAGATTCTTGGCCCGGCCTCGTAAGCCCGATGATGTCTTCGGTTACGATGACAAAGACCGAGTTCTTCAGAAGGAGAACATATTCATTGAAGATCACCTTTTGACTGTGCTCTCTGGTGTTGGTCTACGCCAAGAAGGTTGGGAGGCTGTCAAGTCTCACCTTGACTCACAAGCACTCTCATTACGGAATTTATCTCGGCTGTACTCGATAGCGACTTTATGCCGCATACTTGGCATATCCCCTGCCGACTATAATGCCTTTTTACTTCTCTACCCAGAATATCGTGAATGGTTCAGAAGCCCTAACACAACTCTGTCGCTCGTTCGGGAGTTTCTGGAATCCCCATGCACAGGAGCTCGGCTAAAGGTTGGAGACATGGTAGCTTTGTGTCTCCAAGACTCTTTCATACGCGCCAGGCCACTCCCTCTCAAGAGCATTACAGACATGGTTGCATCCATCCGCAGGGCTATCTCCGCCGCACAAGATGTTTACCATGGTGATGGGTCAGACTCAGCTTCGAAGCAGCAGGTCGTGCTTGGAGCTTTGTTGACATTCTTCCCGGACATGGACAAAGAGGCTATGGAGTTTATCCTCACAGCAATTTTGAAGTTAGACATACGCGATGTGGATTACAGTCTCAAGTCTGATGATATGACTCCGTCTCAAACTATCTTGTGCATCTTGGCAAACGTCGCTACGGCTACTCCTGACGGTGTGACTGTGACGGTGCACACTGAGAACTACTTTATTCCCCCAAAGACAGCAGTTTACGAGATACAAGTTGAAAAGACAGGCGGGACTCTAGAATTGGATGGCACTTCCCTACCCATCTCAGCAGACCACACAGCTGTCACTCCCAGACTCATCCAAGGTCAAGTGTATTTTCTCTCATCGACACATGAGGTCACAAATATCTACTTGCAAACTGGCCCAGAGGCGAACCTGGCCAACAGAGAGCAGGCGTATTTAATTGAAAAGAAATGCGTGGTCAAGGCTCAGCCGATCCTTGAACGTGTGGTGCGCTTGGTCAAAGTGATCCAGCGGTGGAAAATCGATACTCGGGAGATAGAAACCTTCCATGAGTCGGGAGTGATTGAAATTGGGGTTTTGGACCGCAAAGGACTTCGCTGGCTGGAAACATATCATCATCTACGAGGAGCTTTCCTCAAAACAGGGGCTTCAAAGCCTCTTCACCAGCTTTTCAAGACCTTGCACAGTCTAGGAGAGAAGAGCATCACCCGTACCCAGCTTGTCGCACTTCTAGTATCTGTCACTGGTCGCAGTTCTTTATTGTGCAGCGAATACCTGGAAGAGAAGTTCCGCATACCTGCACCCGAAAAGGGAAAGGAGTCAGAAGAAAAGCCCCTTGACAAAGGAGTGATCGACAGTGTTACCAGTCTCTCCGCTCTTGTGGAAATGGACCAAACCATGCAAACTGCCACACGGCTTGGTAGCCATGGCTTGTCATTGCGATTCCTATTTGACCTAGCGCAACCCAGAGAACCAGATGAGAGAGTCAAGTTCCAGTTCGACCACGCTCAGATCCTCTGCAACGCCGTTGGCGCCCAAAGCACCGCTTTGAAGGCTGCGAACGATGAGATTCGAACAGGACAGCGTAGGGCGCTTGTGCAATATCTACTATCCCATCGGTACAGTGAAAGGCTTTCTGTTACAGACGCAGACGGCCTCTTTGAGCATCTACTTATCGACGTACAAATGGGAGCTGCCTTCCAGACGACGAGAATGAAACAGGCCATCTCCACGGTCCAGTTGTTCATCAAGCGTTGCCTCATAGGCGCAGAGATTCGATATGGCGTCAACAATAGCGACCTGAAGAAGAATTCCAGCATCGACTGGGAGCAGTTATGCCAGTATAGGCTGTGGGAAGCCAACCAGAAGGCTATCCTGCACCCGGAAAGTTGGGCTGACCCAACCCTTCGTGACAACAAGACAGAGCAATTCCAAAGACTAGAGTCACGTATGTCGCAGGATAAGCTCAGTCGCGAGGTCATTCAGGACATGGTCCATCAATACCTCAGCGAAGCGAATAGCGTCGCCCAACTGCGTGTCGAAGCATATCATTGGGATGAGGATCCCGACGCTACTGAGAGTGGAGGTGGCAAGGCGCGATTACACGTCTTTGCACGTACACAAACACAGCCTCTCGCGTTTTATCATCGCGTAGTCCGCGTTCGCTTTCTTGGAGATGTGAAGGCTTATCATCGTTGGACTCCGTGGGCTCGGTTCTCAGCAGATGTCCCCATGTATGACACTAACGTCAATGTCCGCAATCCCAGTCCCATGGAAGCCGATAACTTAGTTGAAGCCGGGAAAAGGGTGGATCCCTTTGAGGCTCAGGATGAGAGCACACGCAGCGTCAACAACATCGACCAGAGCAAGAATAAACCACCGAAGAAGAGTGACGCTAAGAGTGACGCTGGAAAGGGGGATAAGAAATACGAACAAGATAAAATGTTGACAGCAGCGTTAGGGGCTTGCCAGGGATCCTACATTGTCCCTACCATCCTTGATGGCCGACTAGTGGTCTTTCTGCCAGAGATTTCGCTACAGCAAAGGCCCAATGACAACTTTGCACCAGGTGGTAAGGTGTCTATGAAGGACCTCAATTCACGTGAGGTCTCGATAGCTACCAGTAAGTGGTGGGAGATCAAAATGGCACGCACCGATTTCCGTAACGGATCCTGGTCCGAAAAGGTCGTTTACCCAACCACTATGAAGCTGGCTGATGCGTTTTTCCTGGATGCAGCCTTTTGGGTTATTCAGGGGTTTCGGTTCTGGTTTAGCCATGACGCCAACGGGATCCCAGGAATTGACGTTGAGCACCCTCGCTCAGTTGACTATGACGGATCTCGGAAGAAGAAAGAAAATGACGAGAATCGCTATCCTCCCCTCGGGCGGTTCGAGTTACGGGGGAACCAAATGTCTTTGTGTACCGACAAAGAGGCCATCCTGAAGAGCCGGAAAAGAAGACGCATCGCACGACCATTTCGAACAGCATTCGGCCATATTGAGGACCGGAACGACAACTCATATCTTCTCTGGCCCTTTTACACCCGCCTTGGAGTCCCCATGCCCAGGACAGTGGACGGCGAAAAGATCGAAACGCCTTCGGAAAGGATGTGGACCTTTGCTTTGAATTCCAAACACACCTACGGGTTATCTACCTTGGCCTTCAATGACCTAACTGGGGGCAGGCATCAGCAATTTCTAGGTGTGCCCCAGACGCCTCGGCTCTTCGACAGGTGGATGTATCTCAGAGATTGGGATATGAAAAAGAGTGGTAAGGATTATGCCAGGGTCTTCCGCGTGTCTAACACTATAATGCCTTCTGCTCTGGAGCACGTCGACCAAGGTGGGACAGTCCCATCCTGGTACAAGTTCCTAGGAACGCCTGAGAAACTATCACCTGAGCACTGGGACGCATTCGGTCGACCCGATGCTAGCTCTAAGCGCTTTCATGAGGAGTCGACCTCCTTTGCCGTGTATTTCTGGGAATTGGGTGTGCACTTACCAAGTTTGTTAATGGAGCGTCTTATGGCTACGCAACAGTATGAGTTGGCCCTTGAGGTGGCACGGAACGTCTTCGATCCGACTCGAGGGGACAAGGCCGAGGATTGCTGGCTATTCCCGCCTTTTCAGAAAATCGTCCAAGATTCGAGAAGCTCATCAGACTGGCTTAAAGAAATTACGCCTGAGGAGGTACAGGACGCCAACGCAAGCGTGCATGCAGCTGCTCGTCTTAACCCACGAGCATACATGAAGCGTATCGTTCTCAAGTACATTGAAGCACTGGTCGCCTTAGGGGATAACTATTTTCGTCAAGCTACCATGGAAGCTATCCCAATGGCTATTGAGCGTTATGTCGAGGCCTCTCATCTCTTCGGACCTGGTCCGCCAAAGGTACCAAAGATGGCTGACGCCCTGCCTATGACCTACAAAGAACTTCCAGGTCAGGAGAAAGATGGCCGCAACCCCTATGTCGACAGCAAGCCAAAGCCACCTTTCTTCAATGGTTCGTCTAAACCAATGCGCATTCATTACTTTTGCGTCCCGGGCAATCCCCAGCTGGTCAAGCTACGGCAGCAGATCGATCAACGTTTATACAACATTCGTAATGGCCTTGATCTTTATGGAAATCCCCTCTCACTTGCTGTTTGGGAGCCGCTCCTAGATCCCGGTCGCGTTCTTGCATCAGGGAAGACCGGCAACGGAGGACATGCCGGCCTCCTGGCGGATTTGAGCAGTCCAATGCCCCGATACCGGTTCAGAAATCTGATTCAGCGCGCGTACGACATTGTGGCTCAGGTGCGCGTCACAGGAGAGCAACTGCAGTCAATTAGGGAGAAGAAGGATGCAGAATCTCTTCTCGCGCTACGTGCTGCTCATCAGAACAGCATGTTGGCGTTAACAATGCGTGTTAGGGAGCACCAGAAGACTGAGATCCTAAAATCGATTGAGTCCCTCCGAGAGACAAGGTCTCAGCAGGAGATGCGCTTACGGTTCTACATCAGCCTTACTGGTGATAAAACCGAGATACCGGCTGAGAATGAAGCGTGGAAGGATATTGAACAGTCTATTATGCCGCCAACTAAGGATGATCTTCGTATGTCACCGCAAGAGCTGCAAGAAATGGATGAGACCAAGAAAGCATCGAACCTCAACCTCGCTGCTGGCATCATAGAATCAAGCGCTGCAGCCGCATTTGCTATTCCCACTGCCTCAGTCAAGACGCAACCCATGGGCTGTGGCATGGACATCACGTACGGTGGTCATACTATAGGTCAGATACTTCTCGCATCCGCCAGTGCCATCAAGACGGCATCTCTCCAAGCCCAGGACAAGGCAGGCCTCGCAGCTCGTACCTCAGGTCTCATGCGGCAACTCCAGGAGCGCCGTCTGGAGGCCAACATCATCGGCAGAGAACTGGTCAAGATCGATAAGGAACTAGCGCAGCTTCAAGCCCGTCTTGTAACCCATGAGGCCGAAGTTTTTGCTCACCAAAAGGAGATAGAGTGCGCGGCAGCTGAGGAGAAGTGGCTCCGAAACAAGTACAGCAATACACAGCTCTACGCCTCGCTCGAGAACATGATGGATGTGTTGTTTAACCAGACGTACGTGCTAGCCTGGGAGATGATTGCGACAGCGCGCAGAGCATTGGACTTTGAGTACGTCATCCGCGGGGATTGTGCACCTCGTCTCACGCCGCAGCTTGGGTTCCAGGGCAGTGATCTTGCTGGTCATGCTCTTTATCTCGAGATCAAACGCATGGAATCGAGTTACATGAACAACAAGTCGCATGATTTCGAGATAGCCAAGGCGGTCTCGCTACGGCAACTGAGTCCTGTGAGTTTACTGGCCCTGAGAGAGAAGGGATCTGCTTCATTCAAAATTCCTGAAGTTATCTTTGACATGGACTACCCGGGTCACTACTGTCGTCGCTTATCCGCCGTTGCTGTGTCGATCCCCTGCATTCTTGCGTCTTATGCCACTTTGAGCTGCACCCTCAAGCTCACCAAAAACGAATACCGCATTTCCAAGGACGCTACCGACTCTGAGTCCTATTTGAAACATGAGGGTGCGGAGTTTCAATCTGATACCGTTCCCATCTCAGTTATCGCTGTGAGCTCCGGATTCCAGGACAGCGGTGTCTTCAACCTGGACTTTGAGAGCACAGACAAGTACGGGCCCTTCGAAGGTGCTGGGGCTATTTCGACCTGGGACATAAAGTTCCCTACAGATTTCCCATCGTTCGACTATCGCACCATTTCGGATGTGATCCTGCACCTTCGCTACACGTCCTTTGACGGTGGAGGTAATTTGGCCAAAGCAGCTACAGAAGCCACGAAGCAGTTGCTGGGAACGCAACAAAGCTCCAGCATCGCCATCGATCTCAAACACGACTATCCTAACGAGTGGAGGAGATTTCTTGAAACGGGCACAATGCCCTTGCCCTCACTGTCCAGGCGTCTACCGTTCTGGGCACGGCTCAGGGGTAGATCTGCAAAGACAGACAGCATTGCGCTTATTTTATACCCGGATCGGCCCCCCACTGCTAAAATACAGGTCGGTGCACCTGGGGATGGCGAAGAGATTGAGCTTCAGAGTGAAGATAAGAAGCATGAAAGGCAGCTGCCTAGTCTTCTACACGATAGTCTGAAAGAACACGCGCTTCAGTCGATAGCGGATCTAGAGTGTAGCGTGTCAGATACTTGGGCTATTCAGACTAAGAAGACTGACAAGGAGTTGGAGCTTGGCTGGTTGATTGTTTGGTATTCTACCAAGTAATTCTTTGTCGTCCAGATGTAGGTACCTAGTATGTGAATTTGCCATCTTTATCTTTTGCCGGAAGTACTTGCGGTTCCCTTACGCTCTCTTCCTGTAAAATCTCAAACCATGATGTAGGATACTTACTCTATTGACTCTGAAATTGCTGTGTATGAAAGGGGCGAGGGGATCGTCAGCCCCCAACCCAACTAACTTTCTCACAGGGGCAGCAGTGAGAACAACGGACTGCATTACCCGTGTATGCCAAGATGCGTTCTTTTCCTGGGCATTGTGGCTCCAAGCTTCGTATAACCCCTCAACCGTATAAACCTACGTGAGCAACTGCACATCATAGAATGAGCGAGCAAGACATCACATAGAGTGGTAGAGAGAGGTGTTGTTAACAATGTTCATTCAACTATATTCGCAAGTGATATCATCCAGTCATGTCCAAGCCAAACAAATACAAGAATTGAAGCGGGTGCTTCAAACTTCTGAAGTCCTCTTACTCCTCTTGAAGAAGCAAGGCATCACCAACTCGCCCATCTCGTGCCAGAAACCAACAGGAGGCTCAGTGAAAGTAGCCTCGTAAGCCTCAATCATGGGTCGCTCCCAAACCAAGTCAACCTCGTGAGGTCGGATGTACTTGGTCTTCTTGAAGACCTTCCAGCCAACGAAGAGGAGGACTGCGAGGATCTGCATGGAGTAGTTTTGGAAGAACACCTCAACGTCGAACTTGGGTCGGAAAGCGTAGTATCCGTAGCACAGACAAATGACGGTTTGGGCGACGAGGGCGATGTAGGCACCGTAGGGCTGGAAGTAGCCGTAGTAGGGTCGCTCAGTCTTGCGGTCGACGCCCTGGGCGACACAGGCGCGGTGATAGTTAATGAATGTGATGGACATGACTATGAAGGTGATAAGACCGCCACCAGTGACGATGCTGATCAGCCAGCCGAGAACCTTGGCAGAACCGTTGGCACACTGGAGTAAGGACAGGAAGGGAAACAGCATGGTGATACAGAAGCAGTAGACGGGGATACCGGCCTTATTGCAGTATCGGAGGAATCGAGGGGCGCGTCCCTCAATGGCCAAAGAGTAGAGAGCTCGGGTTGCGCAGTAGGTGTATGTGTTACCGGCGGAGAAGATGGAGGTGAGGATCAGGAAGTTGACGAGATGAGGGAGACCGGATATTCCAAGGTTGGTCATGGCGATAACGTAAGGGGAGGAAGCAGCGTTTCCAGTACCGCCAGCGCCGAAGTAGATGTCGTAGAGCTTGGGGTCGTTGTATGCACAGACAATGCCAACAGCGAGAGCACCAAGGCCGAAAAAGATGAGGAATCGGTAGTAGACTGTCTTGAAGGCACTCTTGATGGTAACGGAAGGGCGTTGAGCCTCAGCTGCGACTGAGGAGATATACTCAGGACCGACGATGGTAAAGGAAGCTGACCAGAGACAAGCGAGGAAACCCTCAAATCTGCCCTTGTCGCCTGTGCTAAGGTATGTAGTGAACGCTCCAGGGTTGGACCAATATCTGAAGCCGTAGGCATCGTGTTTGGGGTTTCCACCGACCATAGTGACGAAAGTGAAGGCGAAGAGGAGGAAGATCAGGATGAGCTTTCCACCTGAGAGCCAGAACTCGGATTCACCATAGAATCGAACAGCGAGGACATTGAGAAGACTATAGAATGGTCAGTATAATCCAATTGACTAAGGAGACGAAAGCTTACCCATAGCAGACAATAACTGCAATGCAGATACCAGCGGTTGGGCCAGGGTTGAGCGCATCAGCATTCCAGAAGGAGATGACAGAGGTCAGGGCAGTGATCTCGAAGGGAATGATGAGAGCCTCATAGAGGAAGAAGTTCCAGCCAGCGACGAAGCCCAGGGCATCGTCGACCCAGTAGCCAGCAAGACGCACGAACCCACCAGCGACGGGCATATATGTATTCATCTCAGCGATCGAGTTGTTGACAAAGGCGAGAATGATGCAATAGAGGAGGTAGGCGATGAAAAGACTGGCGGGGCCACCTTTGGCGAGACCGCCACCGATGGAGATGAAGAGAGCTGTTCCGATGGAACCACCAGCGGCGATGAGCTGGATCTGACGGTTGTTGAGGCGTCGGTGGAGATGGCCCATGCCGTCGTCGTCGACATATTGGAGGCTTGAGGTATCGCCAGCGACGGCGATGCCCTTTGAGGCCGAGTTTCGTCTCTTCTCGTCGTCAGACATGATGGGATACAAGGCGGTTCAGACCAGCCTTTGTGAGGGGGATAAGGGTTGAGGAGGATCAGAGAGAAGGACAGAGGTGAAGAGTGTTAGAGACGAGGGTCTGAGGAGTAAAAGAGGCTGGAGAGAGTGGATTCATGGCGGTTTATATAGTGTCGAGCAGAGGCAGAGATAACAGGCAGTGAACCATGCCCGGGTAGTACGCGCATGGTGTCGTTGGGCTACAGCAACTACTTGGAACAAGAGCTTATCTTGCTCGGTTAGCTTAGCCACTATCACCCCCCTAACGTAGCCCATGGGCCCAGGCCCTTGCAGTCCCACGCATGTACATACACAGATTGAAGCGCAGCTGAAGGGGAACCACATGGGTCTTCCCCACGGGGAAGAAGAGCTCGGGTCCACCGAACCAAGACTGACTGAGGTTCTGGGACAAGCCTGTATCGGCACTCGATTAGCTCGTGCAGACGGTGGAATGTGGTGTGTTTGGCAGCCGTGCAATTGGTCAGGGAAATGGCTCACTGTTGTCATCTTGCAGCCTTCACTGAACATCTCTTTTGTTTTGGAATCGTTAGTTTGGGTTCGAGGGGGAGACGGCTACTATGACTATGTCTGGTCTAGACTTGGAGTGTATTTGGGCGTTGCGCATGTGATGAGTGAGGGGTTTGTTCTACGTGGTTTAGTGTGGCACAAACGCTACGAATAGGGTAATTCATTGTGAAGAGGTGAATCTCGGTAATCTACACTCTACAGATGATATCTCTCCGTCGTATAGATACCATACCTACCCTACTCTCTCGATAGTCATAGTCTTGTAGGAGGGACCCATTGTAGATAGGATACTTATCTAAGGTATCTACTCCGTACATATCACAAAAATGGCTCACCTAGGTCAGTCCGTTTCTTATCATCTCCCTTGTAACACCGTAGAGTCTAAAACAGAGTCTGCCGGGTGCCCGTCCGTAGTTATTATCGGATCCTCATCCCGACCCCTGCACGATAAAGTCCCTTGGCCCAATCCCCTCATCATCCCACCATCTTCACACTCAGCTCCTCACGGAATCTCCGCAGACACGCAACCACTTCGCTTCACTTCTCCAAAGGGCAACTCCAATAGAACACCACCTGTTTGCAATCTAGAAGCTCTGTGCGCTGGCCAATCACTGCGCACACCGTAATTCTTCGGATTTCCCTGCCGAAACAGTAAACTTTAACTTATCGATCGTGGCAAACGCTGAGGAAATTGACCGATCAAGAGCGTTTATTTCGACCGGAGTAGATTGGATCACTTGTAGCTCGATTAATTTGACTTTGTGATTGCGGCGAATTGTTACTGAGTTGGCCGCTATAGCTTGTAGGGGCTAGTTAGGGAGCCTGACCTGGCTGGTGCTCTCCACTCTCTACCTAGAGATCTCCACTCTGGATATCTGTATAGTGGAGGTCAACAGGGACACGGGAGGGGAGGTTGGCAAGTATAGACGAGGCACGCCCTAGTTTTTGATAACAGCCATCCAATGCATTGATGATGTTGTTTGGGCTTAATATCGAGCGTCATTTCCTTACGCTAGTCATTACCAGGAGCTTGGGTCAGCCTAATATCGTCAGACTATCGAGTGACACTATAGTATCGTATGCTCCTTGAGGAGTGCTGTTTGTTTCATAATGGCAACTACTCCTTCAAAGTACCTCCGTCATTGTCTTATCCAGTGTTAGCTGTTCCTCTGATATTGAAGTCAAGACTCATAGCTTTTTTGCTTATTCTCTGTATTAGGTATGCAAATCAGTGTCAATCTGAGCTTGGCCAGTATTTGAATCTCCATGAAGCGAGAGACATAGATATCAACCTGTTTCAGCTTCACAGAGTATAGCACCTCTGATGTAAAGTTTCGGTAACCCTAGATCCCTCGATATCTGTTCGTTCGCCCAGTTCTTACTCGGATTCTTGAGGAATTTGATAGCAAGTTCTCCGGCCTCCATAAAATCTACTTCCTATTCCAAATCATGTATGCATTTTCTAAATTGGCCCCAAGAGACTGTATGTCTATCCCTTTTCATAGGTCCAGTTGTAAGAGCATTACTTATCTCTAAGACTCTAATTCTATGCTGGCTTGAACTTAATAGCTTGGATGGTCTGGGCTCAACTCGATAGTATCCTTGAAACATTACACAATGATGATAAAGAAAGCCACGACTCATTCCTTCAATGATTACCAGTAACATGATATCGAACAAGCATATTCAACTATTCTCACGAATATCCGGTCACATGACCGGGATCGCTCCCCGAGCTCTTCATCGGATTCTCTCCCGATCCCCGTTACCGCGCCGCACCTAGATTAACGCTTCATTCCTAAACAGGGAGGTGCTAACTCCCAAGCTCGATAGCTGGAAACCAATTTCTCATCTCGAAAAAACGTGGTTGCTTGCGTTTTGTTGGAGAAACGTCGTTGTATCTGTTCAGAGCCTCAATTCTGACACTGGCGATCTCCCTCAAGCCATCTCATGCAGGCGTTGGGAAATGGGCGCCTACGAACCAATGGGGTATTATGCGCGCTGAAATGCAAGCAAACTTCAGCCTTGTTTTTTCTTGCTCCAACTGGAGAGGGAGGAATGGCCTGAGGAGGAAGTTGTCCGGGGCGATTGTCGCTAGCCGAGCCGTTCCCGAGATGCTAAGTTAGACTGTATACACCCATTTCGGCTTCTCCAACGCCCGTCTAGGGAGCTATTAGCTGTCCTTTGGCTTCGTGAGAAATGCCATTCGTTGGTCTATTCGATATGATACCATGGAGGCTCATGT